AAAAAAAAAGAATCCCAGAGCCAGACACAGTGGCTCACGCCTGTAATCCCAGCACTTTGGGAGGCGGAGATAAGAGGATTGCCTGAGCTCAGGGATTTGAGACCAGCCTGGACAACTTGGCGAGACCCTGTCTCTACAATAAACCAAAAAGTTAGCTGGGTGTAGTGGCACATGCCTGCATTTCCAACTACTTGGAAGATGGAGGCGGGAGGATCGCCTAATCCAGCTGTCAAGGCTGTGGTGGCCGTGAGCATGCCACTGCACTCCAGCCTGGGCAACAGAGTGAGACTCCAACTCAAAAAAAAGAATCCCAGAGGTGTGAAAGGACTATTCTGCTAAAAGCAAGCACAGTGTGATTCAGATGCAGTTCATCATGCTGCTGGGGGCTAATAGTGTGGGTTAAAGAATGGTAGAAAGAAGGTAGGACTTGGAGCATGGGCTGGGGGAAGGATGGACAGGTAGACCAATATTTGTAAAGACCATGAGATTCTAGTCTCGAGTCATATGATTTAGCCAAAGGTATTTTCTTATACATAGAGGTCTGTAAAATGCAAGTAGGAAATGAGAATGCTCTTAGCAGAGATACCCCTAAAGAGAACAAATTGGGGTTGTGGTGCTAAGGATAGGCTCTGACCTATACCTCATCTTTCTTCTGGGTGGCAGGACAATCCATGGACTAATCTATAATGCTCTGAAGCTGTTTATGGAAATGAATCAGAAGCTGTTTGATGACTGCACACAACAGTATAAGGCAGAGAAGCAGAAGTAAGTTATCTCTCTCCCCAGGGGATTTTCATCTACCACCAGCTCACTCTGCTTCTTGCAAGCCCCACCCCAATCCTACTTTTGCTTTCTCAGGGGCCGGTTCCGAATGAAGGAAAGGGAAGAGATGTGGCAAAAAATCGAGGAGCTGGCCCGGCTTAATCCCCAGGTGAGATTTTTTTGCCACTGCCCTGAACTGAGGGCCCCATGTCCAGCTAGGGGTGCCGTTGGAAGAGGAGTATGAGGCAAACAGGCTCACAGACTCTCGGAGTGGCTCTCACTGCTTGTCCATGCCTCCTTTCACTCTCAGTATCCCATGTTTCGAGCTCCTCCACCACTGCCCCCTGTGTACTCCATGGAGACAGAGACCCCCACGGCAGAGGACATCCAGCTTCTGAAGAGGACGGTGGAGACTGAGGCCGTGCAGGTGGGAGGGCATGGGGGCAGGGGTGTGAAACAGAAATAATAGCTCTGAACGGGAGAGGAGACAAGAGCAGCAGAGCCGAAGAATATGGAGAGGAAACAATATATTTCACTACTGGAATTGGTCACCATTGCTTGCCTTCTCCCTATTCATACATAGATGCTAAAGGACATCAAGAAGGAGAAAGTGCTGCTTCGGAGGAAGTCAGAGCTGCCCCAGGATGTGTACACCATCAAGGCACTGGAGGCACACAAGCGGGCGGAAGAATTCCTAACTGCCAGCCAGGAGGCTCTCTGACCCCCTTACCTCCCACAACAGGGCCACAGCCCACTCAGCCCTGGGACGCTGCCCCAGCCCTCCCTCTACTCCCTACTGACTGACTTGGGGCAAAGTAGCACCTCTCTAGCTACTCTAGGGAGAGGGAAGCGGGCACTTGAAGCAGGGACACCCACAGAGTGGTCCCTCTTCTCCCCAAAAGGTGTTCATGCCTTCCTGTGGCTAGTACAGACAAGCTGAGCACTAAGATGCTCAGTGTTCAGACAACCTGGGGATGCCTAGCCCTCTCCTCCTAACCCCACAGCTACCTGAGGCTGCTCTGAGAAATACGCAGGAATACATATGCTCCTCTACTCTTCCCATCATGCACATTTGAACTCCAGGTGTCTCTCTTCTTCTCTCTCCCCTGCAGAGGCATGTAGGGAATAGCAGGAGATTACTCTCACCAAAGTTATGTGAAGCCCCATTGGCTCCTGGAGTGAGTAGCTGGAGGGAAGCCAACCCGCAGCAGCACAAACGGGCCCCAGCAGTGTGCAGGCTGGTGGGTTGTATTATTTCCTCTTACCCTGTGCCTAACCAAGACCACATGGGAGGTCAAAAGGAAAAAAAGCATAGACTATGGACAATAAATAATGAATATAGGGCCCAGATGGACCAAAGGAGGGCGATGAGCAAACACCCTACCCTGTGCCCCCTCTTTGGTGAGCAGCAGCCCTGGGATCACAAACATGGAAGGGACCACCCTGGAGCTGACTGCTTTCCTGTGCTGTTGGTTCCCAAAGCTAGAAGGAAGCAGGGAGCAGTGCACGAAGCATGGCTCCTGCCAACACCTATTTATTTCCTTGTTTGTGATGATGCTGGGCAGGTCCTCACTTGTCCCTTTTAGGCACCTTGGAGGGGCAAGGGTCTGTGGAGGGCTGGACCCAGGTTCCAGGGGCACAGGCAGTGCGGCTCTTGGCTGTGTACATAGGGTGCTTTATTCTCCACAGAGTGATACATGCTAAGGAGGGTTGGGCTTGGCCGATGTCCCCATATGTACAGAACTGAATAAAGTGGGTCTCTGAGAAGTAGTCTGGTTTTGCCTTGATGTGGAAAGGGAGATGGGGAGGATGGAGATGAACATTACAACCAGGGATGTGTTCAGTCTTATGCTGGTTCTGGGCAGGAATGTAGGGAGATAAGGCAACTCTCAATGTGGTCACTTCCAAGGAGGGGATGCCTGCCGGGTTTGGAGGGCTTTCTGTACCAAGTCTTCCCACTGGGCATCCGATATCTCCCGAGCCCAGGCAGGAACCCCTGGCGCAGGCAGGCTCACTCCAGCCATCGTCCTTTTCACCAGCTCTACATGTTCTGAAATCACAGGCAGAGGCCAGTTAGGGAATAGAAACAGTGGGACCAGCTCCCCTCTCCATTCCTAGAATCAACCCAGAACCCTTAAGCTGGTAGAGTCACCAAATGCATCTTGCTATTTCTAGGCAAGCCTGTCTATCCCCAAGTGTAGCATATCAGCTGGACTCTATCCCCAAGTGTAGCATATCAGCTGGACTCTGAAGTCTCCAAAATCTTAGTCTACAAACTATCTTTGCAGGAATAAGGGTGTTCCTTTGCGACTTCCTTCCGCTGACTCCAACCAGTCCGTTTCCTCATAATTCAGAGTTAAAGAATGATCTCTTACCTGGGTCCATGGGAATAGAGCTGTGATTGCTCAATGCTGTAGCTCCCTCCTCATCTTCATCCTCACTCTCCAATGGGGGGTCTGGCAAATGCAGCCCTAGGGCCTGTAGAGCCAGAAAAGACAGTTCGGGTCCAGCCTTTCAGGGACCTCAGCTTCACCTGCTCAGGTACAATCCTTCCTCCACCATACCTGGATGCGATCCTGGATGTCAGCAACTACGTCTTCTCCATCCCCCACTGGTGCCAGTTCCACCTCTTCTTGTTCAGGATCTTGATTTAGGGGCTGGTAGGAGTAGCCAGCTGGGACTGTCCCCGTTTCCTCCTGCTCTTCCTCAGGCTCCTCACTGCTCCAATCCCCAGTGCCTTCTGAAGGGCCCTGATGTGGTCCCAGTTCCTCGGTCTGGTTGGGGAAGATACGCTCAGGGCCCATGGTGTCTCCCCCTAGAACTACTGTTGCCATCCGGGCAGGGGCTGCAAGAACAGGGAGGCGGAAGGATAGGGACTGGATGAAACCAGACCCACCCTCACCCCTCATCCACCTCCTTACGGTTTCCGATGTCCACAAAACCAACTTCCCTCTCTAAGATTTCTGCACTCTCTTCCCCTCCGGGCCTGCTCCCCACGCCTCTCGTTCCCTCGAAAGGCCCCTCTTAAATTGGGCCCCACCCGTCTTGCTCCGCCAGCTCCTAAATAAACAGCCCAGCCAAAGGCCTGGCCACCTCCTGAAAGGCACCCCTTCCAGATCGCCGGCTCCCCCACCACGCCCCACCCCGATCTTGGGACCCCAGGTCACCAGACGACCGCCCCCTTCTCCCCTCTTCTATAAGTTCCCTTCTGTACCGCCTCACAAACGCCCTCCAGGCCCTAGGCCTCCCCCTCATACGGCCCCAGCCGCAGCGTCGCCCACCCACCCCCGCCGATTCTCGGCGCGGGTGTAGCCGCGCGCCTCACCCGCTCAGAGCCGGCCACCGGACCCGCACCTTCACTTCCGGCGGGGCTGGACCTGCGGGGCTCGCCCAAGTCCTCCAGCCCCGCCTCAGGCTCACGATTGACGCGAGCTAGGACGAGGCGTCCGTCCCTTGCCCCGCCTCCGTCACCCCCCCGGTCCACAATACAAAGACTGCATTACCCGGTGAGCCCTTCGGGCTGGACACACAGCTGCACATGCGCAAAACCTCTCCTTCGCTTCCCGCCCACTCCACAGCCCGCCAGTCCTTCTGGAAACCTGTGGACTACAAGTTCCCGAAGGCCTCGGGAGCTGAGCGCCGACTGCGCGTGCGCGCTCCGCCGCCCGCCGGAAGGACCGAACCTGGCTGTGTTTATCTCGGTGGAAACCCGGGCGTCGGTTGGTGCGCAACGGGTTCAAGGCTGCAGGCAGCTCGCGGACTCGCGGTCCCGCCCCGGCCCGGCCTGGCAGGTAGCCTGAGATGGGTTGAGGGGCAGGGAAGGATTGAAAGGGCTGGGGACGCCCATGTCTAGAGCTGGAGCTGCGGGGGAGGGGCCTGAGAGTGATGCGGTGGGGGTGGGGAGGGAGCTGTTGGGATGATGGGAAAGGAGAGTGTTAATGGGGCAAGCAGTGCTGGGGGAGGATGGTGAGGATACGGGTGGGAGAGACCTGGTGGCTGGAGGAGGTAATGAAGGAAACTGGAAGACAGGCTTGAGAAGAACGGGGAAGCTGAGCAGGATGGGAGCGGAGGGGGGTGTCTGGCGTTGTTAGGAAGGGGAGGCTGGGATGCTTGGAAGAAGACAGGGATAGAGTCATATTCAGGGAAGAATGTCTGGTCAGTGCCTGTCAGTTTTTCCCCCCTTAGTGGAGGTGGGAAAATGGAGGGCTGTTGGGTGGAGCTTGGAGTGGTGGGAGAAGGAAAAATGAGAAAACTGCAAAGCCCTCCGGAGATCATGAAAGGCCAAAAATGGGGAGTGAGGATTGCATGAAACCAGGGAAGGGGGTAGATACATTAAGGGAATCGAAGAAGCTTGGGAATGCTGTAGTGATGGAGAATTGGGACGACCCTGGAGGCTTGTCCTCCTTGAGTTCGAGTTGTTCTTAGGGAGGAGAAGCTTTGACTGGAATTGCTTGACTCTTCTTCTGTGCCTTTTTTACTTCATCTTGACATATCCAAAGAGGAAAATAGAGGCTATGAGGGAACATGAAGGACTTCCATTTTTAAGCCCCTCGACCTCCTGCCTCCATAAGCCCAGATCCAAGATTTTTTGGATTGAGAGCAGGAGTAATGAAGTGAGAGTAGCTTCCTGCTGGGGCTATTTCAGGTTGGGCATGGTAACTATTTAAAGCAGGGTGTTGGGTTGGGGGAGGTTGGGTGGGTGGGACTAGCAAGCCAGCTGAAAGCTCTGACTCTTTCCTGCAAGGGCCTCCCTTATTTGAGCTGTTTTTGTGCCTGAGGTTTTGTCTGGCTCTTCCCTCTGCCAGGGCTTCTTGAACAGGGAGCAGATGATCCACCCAAGCCCAGCAGGTGCCTGCCAGCAAAGGCATTGCCAGTTGCAAGAGGATTTTGCCTGCAAGATCCCTCAAATGCACCCATTATTGCTAGATTGGCAGATTATCTTTAAGAGACTTCTCATACTGGGTTTTTCTCTTGTCCTGCCCAGGGACATTTTTACCTCCCTTCCCCTTTCCAGTGCACTCTCGTCCCCTTTTCAGGGACTCAAGTAGGGGAAGAGCTGCTGGAAATGTCTTGGTTTTCTACCACAGTAGTAGGGTTCGGGAAATGGCAGGAGAAAACTCTTCCTCCCTACCCCCACCCCCAAGCATACACATACCCTCCTGGCTTAAGTTCCTAGTCCTGGTGGCATACCAGGCACAGCTGTCAGAGGAACTCCTTGTGCCTGTGGGGGGCCCTGGTTGACCCTGATAACAGCTCAGTTTGACAAGAACTCCCTGTGAGGGGCTAACAAACCATGGTGATGTGGAGGACACTGGCCTGGATCAATCTCACCCTATGGTGGGTAGGGGGATTGTTCCATTCTAAAAACCTAAAAACTCTTCTGTGTTGAAGTATTCATGCCAGCTTTCAATGGACTGTCTGGGGCTGGTTGGGCTATTAATAGCTGTGAGTATTTTGAGATCCCTTTCCCCACCTTAAAGAACACAGAGATTCTTAGAGAGGTGGCAGTAAGCAGAGCAGAGCCAGAGACAAGAGACACCCAGTCTGCGAAGGGGGCTTTTTGTTTGTGCCAAGCCAAGGACAAGGTAGAGCCTCCATGAGTAGGGGCCAACTATGATCAGCAGATGCTGAGCTGGCAGTCAGGTTGGAGTGGCCCCACCCTTAGCTGTTAGAGAATACTGGGCCAGGGCTAGCTCCCTGACCTCGGCAGCTTCCTTGGGGCAGGGCCAACCACCTGAGCTGTGACTAGTGTCCCTGGTGTGGGAGGGCCACCAGGGTGACACTTGGAGGCAAGGGCTGGTCCTGGGCAGAGGCACGGTGAACCAGACAGAAGCCTTGTCTGAGGAGCCTGTGGCCCTAACTTGTGTGCAGGTAGCAGAGGCAGCAGGCCGTGCCGGGGGGGCATGTTGCTGTAACCTGTGGTCCAGGGGATGTTACGGTGGACAGTGCACCTGGAGGGCGGGCCCCGCAGGGTGAATCATGCTGCAGTGGCTGTTGGGCATCGGGTATACTCCTTTGGGGGTTACTGCTCTGGTGAAGACTATGAGACACTGCGTCAGATAGATGTGCACATTTTCAATGCAGGTAAGCCAGTGTTGGGGCTGTCCCCGGGTGCCCACATTTGGGAGGGGAATGGGTGGCTGAATGAGGTTCAGTGGTGGATCCTGGGGCCAAGGGGATTGGAGACAAATATCTGGTTTGGGGAAGGGTGGACAACCTGTAGGGAGACAGCTGAGCAGAACTATGCCCACAGTGTCCTTGCGTTGGACAAAGCTGCCCCCAGTGAGGCCTGCCATCCGTGGACAGGCTCCTGTGGTACCCTACATGCGGTATGGACACTCAACCGTCCTCATCGATGACACGGTCTTCCTTTGGGGCGGACGGAATGACACCGAAGGGGCCTGCAATGTGCTGTATGCCTTTGACGTCAGTGAGTATCGGTCTCAGAGAGGCTACATTCTGCCAAATGGTGCCTCAGGGGCCTGGGAAAGGCCTGGGTAGGGGGGCTGGGGAATAGGGCACCCTGTAGTTTAGGAGGGAGTGTTGGAGGTTGCTTATCTGGGCCATTCTCTCACTTCTTTTAGATACTCACAAGTGGTCCACTCCCCGAGTATCAGGAACAGTTCCTGGGGCCCGTGATGGACATTCAGCTTGTGTCCTGGGCAAGATCATGTACATTTTCGGGGGCTATGAGCAGCTGGTAGGTCTGGGAAGAAGCTAGAAGTTTAGGGTGGAAATGAGAAAGCAGAAGGGGAATTTAAGTGGTGGAATGGGAGGCTTGGGCTTATTTGCAGGTTTTGAGGTGAAGAATGGAAGGTCAGGGAGTGACCATTGACTCCTTCTTTTCTTTTCTCTTGCCACTCAGGCAGACTGTTTTTCCAATGATATTCACAAGCTGGATACCAGTACTATGACGTGGACTCTTATCTGTACAAAGGTCCGCCCTTTCTTCTTTCTCCCAGATCCCCACCCTCCATTGAAGAAATCATAGGAAGCTCAGACAGTGAGAGCGGATCCCTTTGTGCTGACCCTCTCACCCCGTCTCTCTGCCCCTATGCAGGGCAACCCTGCACGTTGGAGGGACTTCCACTCGGCTACAATGCTGGGCAGTCACATGTATGTCTTTGGGGGTCGTGCCGACCGCTTTGGGCCATTCCATTCAAACAATGAGATTTACTGCAACCGCATTCGCGTCTTTGACACCAGAACTGAGGCCTGGCTGGACTGTCCACCCACTCCAGTGCTGCCCGAGGGGCGCCGGAGCCACTCAGCATGTGAGTATTTGTTACTTCCCTGTGGAGTCTTCCTTCCTGTTCTCCTCACACTCTTGACATTCCTCTCTCCTTCCAGTTGGCTATAACGGGGAGCTGTACATCTTTGGTGGCTATAATGCAAGGCTGAATCGACACTTCCATGACCTCTGGAAGTTTAACCCTGGTAAAAAACCCTGGTTTTAGGGGAGGAACAAGGAGCAATTGAGGTGGGAGGAAAAGAAAAGAATGATCCTGAGGAGGTGAGGGGATAGGGGATAGAGAAGAGAGATCTGGACTGGGCAGGTATTGAACTTCCATAATAAATTTCTCTTTAGTGTCCTTTACCTGGAAAAAGATTGAACCGAAGGGGAAGGGGCCATGTCCCCGCCGGCGCCAGTGCTGCTGTATTGTTGGTGATAAGATTGTCCTCTTTGGGGGTACCAGGTAAGGAGAAAAAAGGGGAGGGGCTCAGGGAAGGGCCTAAGTCTGTGACTAAAAGGAGAGTGGGAGATATTCGACCAAGAGGGTCTTGTGGGTAGTTTTTCTTTTACCTTCATTTCTCTTTGTTTTTTGGGTTTTTTTGAGTCAGTCTCACTCTCTCACCCAGGCTGGAGTGCAGTGGCACGCTCATGACTACCGCAGCAGCCTCTACCTCTGGGGCTCAGGCAATCCTTCTGCCTCAGCCTTTCAAGTAGCAGGAACCACAGGTGTGTGCCACCATGCCTGGCTAATTTTTTGATTTATCGTAGAGCTGAGATCTCACCAGATTGCCCAGGCTGGCCTCAAACCCCTGGGCTCTGGCAATTCTCTGGCTCTGCCTCCCAAAGTGTTGGGATTACAGGCGTGAGCCAGTGTGCCTGGCTCATTTCTCTTTTGATCCCTACAGTCCGTCTCCTGAGGAAGGCCTGGGAGATGAGTTTGACCTCATAGATCATTCTGACTTACACATTTTGGACTTTAGTAAGTACAGTTATTCTTGAGATGCTCCTGCCAGCAGTCTTTGGGTAATGGTATTCAGGACTGGACCCTTTCTTCAGCTTTAACAATTTCCTTCCCCCACTTCCTCCCTTAAAGGTCCTAGTCTGAAGACTCTGTGCAAACTGGCTGTGATTCAGTATAACCTGGACCAGTCCTGTTTGCCCCATGACATCAGGTACAGCAAGTGATTGGAAAGGAGGGATTGGGTGACGGTGTGCAGGCAGGCAGCACAGGCGTGACCTGATTAGCTTGGTCTCAGATGTTTTTGTTCTGCTGGGGATGTAGTGTACTTGTGGGAAATAAGATGGAAGGAGGTGAAGGTACAGTAGTCATATAATAAAACTGTCAGCAAGGTAAATTATGTGAAAAAAATCCAATTTTTCAATCCAGCCTCAGAAACATCACTTTCTGAGACTTGAGCTTATACACTTATTTTTGTTGAAATGCTGAGAACAACTGATTAAATATTAGAACCTAGCTCCTAGTTTAGGAGCCTCTGGATCCCATTAGTTCCAGAATTAAGAGAGGTCCTGGCTACTTCCCTTTGAATTCCATTCTTAGGTTCAAGTCAAGCAGTGAATGTTACTTTGTGTGTAAGTTTGCCCTTCTGGGTCATTCTGAGATACTTCCCTCTCCTTGCATCAGTTCAGTTTAAGTCTTATTTGCTGAGGGTCTGTGTATTCAGTATTTGGTGACACAGGGTATGCAAGGCTGAACTAATGGATCCCAGGCAGGCCCAAGATTGATACATGTGCAAGTACCTAATACCAAGATTGTTTAGGATTTTGGCATAAGGAGATACTTGGTAAATCTTTGTAGAGTGAAAGAATTGTTGAAAGAAAGGGATGTAGTTTCAATATGGTGGGAAGGGTGGGGAAGGCCTCAGGGTGGAAGAACGCTGAGTCAGTGCCATAGTAGAATGAGAGCAAAAATGGGCATTCTTGGTGGAGGTGAGGTGGAGGGGCTGTCCAGTTGGATCTGAGCAGAGCAGAAAAAGTAGGTTGGGGTGTTTACTGACACGTGTACGTGGAACCTAGGTGCTTGGACACAGGAATAGATGTATAAACATAAACAGGAAATCCACATGACCTGGGAGGTAGAGGAGTGGGTGGTGTTGGATTTGGTGGTGGGTGGTATCTGATTGTTAAATCTAGTAGGTCTATAAGGAAGAGGTGGCTGTGGGTGGTTGAGCTTTAGGAAGTTGGAGGGACTGATGTGTTCTTAGCTTTATTCATGCAATTCTGGGCTTGGGGTGGGAGCTGTTCCTTCTGTTCTTTCTGCCTCTCATTCTTGGCCTTCCAGGTGGGAGCTGAATGCCATGACCACCAATAGCAATATCAGTCGCCCCATCGTCTCCTCCCATGGATAGGAGGAACTTTCTGCCACCTCCCCTCCTGAGCCTGCTGTTGTCTTCTCTGCCCCTGCCCACCTCTCTCACCTGCCTGCCCCTTTGGACCCTGGACTTGGTATACTTCCATATGGAGTTGTTGGACTAGAGGTGTTTTCTGTGCTGTGAATTCAGTGGGGAGCTGTGGGGGGAGGGCCAGGTTCCTCCCCCCTTGGGCCGAGGGCCCCTTCCCCTTGGTGCTCTGTCCCCATCCACCTCCCTCCAACCGCTCCTGGGCCTCTGCTCTGTGCCCCAGGCCAGCCAAGCTCTGCTGGGAAGGGAATGGGGAGAAGGGAGAAGCAAGCAGTGTCTGGCCCTCAGGAGCTTCCCCCTTCCTCTGTGCCCACCATCTCCCCCTGCTTGAGCCATGAGCATTGACTGGGAGCTGAAAGGAGTTAACAGCTGTTGGCATGAAATCTCCTTCTCCCGATTTGGGGGGGGGGGACCAGCAGATAATCCCACCCTTCCCTGAGCTGTTGCTGTATCCTGAAGCTCAGCCAGCTCAGATTTTATAAAAATGAATTAAAACCTCCAAGCGTGTGATGTGTTTTTGTGGAATAAGGTGGAGATGGCAGGAGTTCGCAGTGGGGGCAGGGTGCTCAGGCCGGGCACCCCTGAGGTTGTGGCTTCTCAGCCAGGAGTATTGAGAAACCACATGCCACCAAGGCCTGACCCCAGCTTCTTGAGCGCGGAAGCCAACGCCATACGACGCGGCAGAAGGTTGCGACAGTCTTCGGAGCGGGCTCTCCTTTGGGCCGGGCTCCCTGACCGCTGGCCGCGCGGTCTGTTTTCTGTCCATTCATCATCGCGTGGAAACCGCCTCCCGGGAGCGCCGGAAGGGGCGGGGCGGGAGCCGCCGCGAGCGGAAGTCGCGCCACTCGTCGTTCGGGCCATAAGTGAGCTGATGCCGGCGTGCAAGCCCCGCTCCCGGGCAGTGGCCCGACGTCCCCGCGGGACCCGGGACGGCGGGGAGGACAGCGGGGACCTGGGGCCCGGGGCCGCGGCCCGCGACCTGCGGATGGGTGAGGGCATGGGGCCGGGTGGGAAGGAGGTTTCCCTGGAGGCTGGCGGGGGGCGGGAGCCTGCAGACGGTTCCGGTGAGCCTGCCAAGTTCTCGCAAAGGCACACGGGGGGGGGGGGGG